GGGGGGCACTAAGAGTTGAAGGCCAGCCTGAGACCCTGTCTCAAAAAAGTGAAAAAAAAAATTATGGTAAAATGGACACTGTCAGGTAAAAGGGCCGAAGACCAAGACCAGACCAGGCCACAACAAGCCTTTATTAGGGGAGTAGATCTGCCGGGCTGTCTCTGAACAAAGGAAAGACAAAAGCAATATGGCCAGGGCAGGGAGAGTCTTTTATAGAGACTGGGGTGGGGTTTGTAGGGGCTGAGGTGGGGTTGAGTGAGGTAGTGACTAGGGAATGGAGGAGCCCATGATGTCACTAGGAGGTGAGCGAGTATTAGGTTACTTTCTAGGTGGGAACAGGGGCATGCTGGGAAGAAGGGTTTATTCTTTGGTGGGAGCAACCATCTTGGCATGATGTCACACAGGGGAGGGGGCAAGGCACCATAGGAAGAGGGCAGCTACTATACATAATAGCTGCTGAGGTAATGGGAGACCTATCAGACACAAATAAAATTTACCTTCTTAACTTTTTTTGTTTTTTGTTGTTATTGATTTGTTATTTGAGACAAGGTCTTGCTACATAGCCCAGGATGCCTTGAACTTATAGCAATTCTCCTGCCTCAGCCTCTTGAGTGCTGGGATTACAGTTCAGTGGCATTTGTGCATATTTACAATATTATGCAACCATCACCACCATCCATCCCCAACACTATTTTCATCTTGAGAAAAGAGGAGAAAAAAGAGGAAAACAAATAAAACCAGATATTAAAATGCAGGGTGGGGGTGGGGTGGAGCTCAGTGATAGGGCCCTTGCTTAGCATGTTTGGGCCCTGAGTTCACCCCTCATCATCACAAAACAGAAAGAACAGAAGGTTCATCCTCCCAACCTAGAGCACTTTGCACATTACATAATAACTCCTCTCCCTCCTGGAGTCCCAGTCTCCCAGCCCCCATTCTGCTTGGTCCGTGACTTTGACCGCTCTAACCTACAAGTGTGATCATGCAACATTTATCCTTGAGTGTCTGGTTTATTTCTCTTAGCATTTCTTCAGGGTTCACCTGTCTGTAGTGTAGGTCAGAATCTCCCTTTTTCCAGGGCGAATAATATTCTACTATAAGTATGAACCACATTTGGATTGTTTCTACCTTTCAGCTATTGTGAATAATCCTGTTATGAACTGTGGCTTACAAATGCCCACATGAGTCCTTACTTTGAATTTTTTTTTTTTTTTTTTTGGTACTGGGGATCAAACTCAGGACTTTGCACTTGCCAGGCAAGTACCACACCGTTGAGCTACATCCCTAGCCCCTTACTTTGGATTTTTTTATTGTTGTTTTTGAGACAGGGTCTCACCATTCTGGGCTGGTTTTGAACACACTATGTACTCCAGGCTAGCCTTGAATTTGCAGCAATCCTCTTGCCTCAACCTCTCCAGTGCTGGGATGACAAGCGTCTGCCACCATGCCCTGCTGGAGTATCTTCACATGCTTTTCATTCAACTGTATTTCTTCTTTGGGGAATCTATGCAAGTTCAAAGAAAGCCATTTGAACTATTTAAACCATTTCTGCTTTATCTTCTGTCTTTACCTCTAAACATTTTTTTAAATTCCATCATTTCTTGATTTTCTGTTCAATAGGTAACACTTTGCCTATCTTGTTTTTTTTTTGTTGTTGTTGTTGTTACTGGGGATTGAACTCAGGACCTTTCCCTTTCAAGGCAGGAGGTGGAACCACTGAGCTAAGTCCCCGGCAAGGGTCTCCCTATTTAAACCAGCCTGGCTTTAAACTCTCAGCCATCCTCCTGCCTCAGCCTCCCAAGTGTTGGGATTACAGGTGCACACTCCTATGCCCTTCTTAGGATCTGGATTTTGAAGCACAGAGGGAAGGATATTGGCGAAGGGGAGGGAATCAGGGCTTTCTTGGGCTGATCAGTGGTGTAAGCCGAGTCCCAGGGACCATAAACTATACCACTGTGTGCAGCACACAGGGGATGTGCTCAGTCAGCCCTTGGGGAGGGAGGAGGCCTGAGGTGGGGAGTCAGGGGGCCAGAAGCTGGAGGTCCTAGAGGCCCCGATTCCTGGCAATCCTGCGTCTGGGAAGCCCAGGTGGGAACACAGGTCAGGGCAGAAGATCCCTCCCCTGGGGACTGGCCCTAACACCGAAGGGAGGGCAGGGCCTCTAGACCAGCATCTGCCGGGATAAGAATCCCACTGCAAAGTTCAAGGCTGAGGGCAGCAGGGGGCAATGATTTACTCTGAGGGGGCAATAATTTACCTAGGGTTCCCCAGCAAGCCAGGCATGGCGGGGATGGGCCTTGGGAAACCATCCAGCACCCCGAGTCCCCTGGGCCAGCTCCAGAGCCCTGGGCCCTGTTCATGTCCTCAGGAAGCCCAGGTCCTCCCCGGGTTTGGGCTTGAGACTGTCCCCCTCTCCAGGGCTCCAGGGGACCTGAGGTCGCTGAGGATCAAACAGAGGCGCAGTGTGGACTTCTCATGACCTCAGCTGAGCCACTGTCCCCAGGAGAGGGCAAAGTTTCCTCCCACCACACTGAAGCCCCAGCCAGCTGCCACCTGGCTGGCTTTCTGCATCTCCTCTCCCTCACCTTCCCCAAGGAAGGGTGCGGTGGTCCAGGACTGGAGCCTGGGTACCCAGGGGCACCTTCCCAGCCAGGCCCCGGGATGGACGCCAGAACAGGACATTGACTTGTGGGTCCTGCTGTTTCCAGGCCGTCTTCTCTGCCACCCACGCCCGGCCTCGGGGAACCCCGGGACCTTCGGGGAAGTGGGGGATCTGAACGGGCCGCCTCCACCCTGGGCACTTTCTGTTTGCACCTTTGTCTGCGCCTCAGGAAATTGGGTTCTAGGGCCCAAGTTAGGGTGGCAGATGGCAGAGGACACACACGGGCGATACCTGAAGCCAGGCTGATTGAGACTCCTATAGGAAAGATCAAGGCAGAGGCACCGCGGGGTGGGGTGCAGCCGGGGAGCGGGTGGGAGGATGGACGTCAGATTTCGGCACCCCAAGACCAGAGGTGGCCTCTGCTGGGACTTGGCCTTCAATCGTAGGCACCGAAGGGACCCTCGGTCTCTCTGGGCCCTCCCCACCCTCACCCGGGCCCTTGTTCTGGCTGGCGACTCGGGGGCGCCCCTTCTAGGATCACAACTTGGGTGGGGGGGTCCTCAGATGTCCCATGCACTAAACGGAGCGCAGGGCAGGACCAGCCGTGAAATTAACCAAGTCCTGGGTCTGGCAGCCCCGGGCACCCGAAGGTCAGGAGGGGACCCTATGTGGGGAGGGCACCCCGCCCTTCGGACCCACCGGGAAGCCAGGGCGATTGGGGAGGGGGGAGGGCCCCCCCGGCCCCCCCCTGCGAAGGTGGCCCATCCCCTCCCGCGCCTCGCTCCGCCCCGGGACCCTCCCGCTCCCGCTCCCGCTCCCGCTCCCGCTCCCGCTCCGCTCCCGCCTCCCGCCTCCCGCCTCCCGCCTCCCGCGCGCCCCGCCTCGGCCGCTTAAAAGTTTGCTGGGGCGAGAGCTCCCGGCGAGCGAGCGAGTATGGCGCTGTGCGCGCGGATGCTGCGCCTCGCGACTCTGCGCGCCCCGGGGCTGGGGGTACAGGGGGCGCGGGCCCGCCTCGCCCGGGGGGCGCAGGAAGCCAGGCTGCAGCGCGCCCGCCCGCTCAGGTACAGGCCGGAAAGGGGGGAGGGGCTGGGCGTCCCCTGGGAGCACCCGGGAGGAGGGGTCCTGCAGGGCTCAGCTGTCCCTGTCTAGGCTGGGTGACCGCAGCTGCCGCGCCCTGGGCAGCACCTGGCACCCAGCACCCTCCCCCTCCCGGGTACCCTAGCATCGCAGAAAGCGGGCCTGGCCCGGGACAGGGGCTGCTGCTGTGGCTTCAGCGGCCCTTTAACTGAGTCCAAGATCCACTCCAAGACTCCAGAGTGGCCCCTTAACGGGCACCCAGGCCAGGAGTGTGGGCCTCCAGCAGTCTACTCTGAGGGGAAGTCGGGGGCCAAGGCCTGGGCAGTGTACCCAGAACTCTGCCTCTGGGTTGGGCCCCCATCAGGCCTAAACTTGGGGATCAAGTCCTCCTCGCTGTCCACTGAACTTAGCAGCCTCCCCTCTCTCCACGGCTGTTGGCAGACACTGCTTTCACTTGTCCCACCACTCCTGGGCTTGTTTCCTTCTGTACCCAGGGCAAGGAGTGGGAGGGGGCCAGCAGGCCCGGATGTTGGGAGGGACACCTGTGCCCACCCTGAGAAAGGCCTGGGAGGCTGGAACTGGCTCTTGGTGAAATGGGAGGGGGTGTTTTCAGCGCTGGGAGGCCTTCCAGCCACAGAGCCTGCTGCCACCCAACGCGGCCAGCTGCTGAGTGTGGTCAGAAGCAGTCTCTCACACCACGTGGGGTGTGTGGGCCTGGGCCTGAGGAAGAGGGAAGGACGCTCAACGGAGCTGTGTCTCAGAGAACTAGATTGGTTTTTTTTTTTTTTTTTGGTGCTGGGGATTGAACTCGGGTCCTTGTGCTTGCGGAGCAGGCAGCGTAGATTGGTATTTTTAAAAAGTGTTGGGTGTAAGAGTTGGAGACATTCCAGATTCCCTTCTGGCTAGAGCTCTCAATCGAGATCGCGGAGTTGTTGAACCTGCTGGCTTTTCTGAAATCTAGAGTGTGGAGTACTTCACTATCTCTGCCTCACTTCCTGAGAAAGCCCAGAGATCAAGGGTGGGCAGCAAATGGCACCTGGATGAAGGGAGGGCGCTCAGCTCTTCCCGACCTCCCTCCCTCCCAGTGCTGCCCTGTGCTACCCCCCCCCCCCCCATCTCTGAGCCTCTCCTTTGCCCTTCCGGTGCCCTTCAGGCTGTGTGGACTCTTAAGACAAGTTACTTCCCAAGTGTACACTTTTTAGGATCCTACATCAGGCCTCTGCAATATTCCTGGCCTTTGACATTTTTGTGTGTAAACAAAGCAGGTCTCTTGCCTGCTTCAGCCCTGTGACCTCAGAGGTACCAGGGCTCAAGAGAAAGTAACTATTGGGAAGAGACTGGTTTATCCAGAAAGATAAGATTTCCTGAGCATTTGGTCTGACTTCCTCCTATTCCTTGTCTGTTTCTCTCCTATTCTGACCTTCAGAAGCCTGTGCTCAAGCGTTCAGGAGCAAGCTTGCTGTGTCCAACCCCTAGTGGGTGCTGTGAGTATAGTAGGCCGGGAACTCTGTCCTGAGATTTCCAGAGCCATGCAGATTCGTAGAAAGATGGGCACTACTGTGGGGGAAACTACTGGACTCCTATCCTCTGCTTTCTTTTTAAAAAATTTTAAATTTCAACTTTTAAAAAATTGTACTTTTGGGCCAGGGATTTAGCTCAGTGATTCCGGTGCCTGCCTCGAAAGCGCAAGGTCCCAAGTTCGATCCCCAGTACCGGGAAGAAAAAAAAATTGTGCTTTTTTTGTGTTTTGGTTTTTTGACAGGCTTTTGCTATGTAGCCCAACCTGGCCTCAAACTCAAAGCGGTCCTCCTGCCTCAAGCCTCCCCAGTGCTGGGATTACAGGCATGTGCCACCTTACCCTGCTGTCCTGTTTTCTGATCTGGTCACACATAGCTGCTTTCCTGCCCTTCACTCCAGGTGCCTGGGATTTGCTTGATAGGAAAGAGCAAGAACTTTGAAACCAGATTCTCTTAAGCAACCACATTGGCTTCTCTCCATACGGAGTGTGTTACGTGCATCTGGCACATCGCAACTCTGAGGCTGGTTCCTTGGTTACTTGTCAGTACCCACCTGCTAGTTGTTGGGTGGTCCGACAGAATCTTGTCTTGTGCTCAGCCTTTCCTTTGAGGCAGGGCTGGTCCTGGGAAGCTGAGATCCAAGCCTTGAGTGCACCTTAGGAATCTGACAAGGCAAGGGTTGGAGTCAGCCCTGCCTCTGACTCCTGGGCTGCTTTCCCCATGGGCTCCACACCAGTGTCTCAAGGGGACACCTGCAGCATGGGGGCCTCCTGGCCCAAGGACTTCTGGCTCTCAGAAATGGCCCCTGGTGTATTCAGGAGGCTGAGGCAGGAGGATCATGAGTTCAAGGCTAGTGTCAACTACGTAGTGAGTTTAAGGTGAGCCTGGACTGCACACTGAGACCCTGTCTCAAAAAGGGTAGGGGATGGGCCCAGGATTTAGCTCAGTGGTTCCACCACCTGCCCCACAAGCGCAGGGAGCCGAGTTGGATCCCAACTACCAAAAGAAAGGGTAGGGGGCTGGAGATTTAGGATAAAGGCTCTGAGTTCAATCCCTAGTACAAAAAAGGAGGAGGAGGAGGAAAAGGAGGAGAAGAAAAAGAAGGAAGAGGAGAAAAGAAACAAAGAAAAAGTCAGGTGTGGCGGTGTGTGTCTATAATCCGATCACTTAGGAGGCTGAGGCAGGAGGATCACTGTGAGTTGGAAGCCAGCTCAGGCCACATAGAGTTCAAGGCCAGCTTGGACTACATAGTGAGACCCTGCCTCAAAAAACAAAACAAACCAAAAAAAAGAAGGAAAGAAAGAAAGGAAAACAGAAATGTTCCCTGTGTTCTTGAGAGCATTTGCTGGCCCTACATAACAATTCCCTTTTTACTTTCCCACACACCCACAAAGGGGCATTCCCCAGCGGTTTCCACTGGAGTGGTGGGAGCCTCTGCCAATAGGGCTTCCTGTTCAGTCTTTATGGTAGCGCTGACTACTCGGGAGGGCTTTGAACCAGTGTCTCTTACAGGCTGTAGAGCCTTCAGGGAGGGAGGGTTGGGTGGTGATCATGGGCTTTATGGTCTAATTGCACACAGTCCACTATGCCGATAAACTGCCCTGTCCTAAGTGTGTGAGTGTGGAGTTCCACAGGTGTTAACTGTGGTACTGTGTTTTCTGTTGCTATAATGAATCCTACAGATGGAGCCATTTATAAGGACTGGAGTTCATTTAGTTCGTGGTTCTGACCCTGGGCAGCTCAAGAGCTGGGCTCAGTATGTGGCGAGGCCTTTCCTGCTGGGTCAGGGCACGGCCCTGGGCATCACACGGTGAGAGAGCAGGCATGCCAGGGACAGCTCACTTTTTCTTTCTTTTCAAAAATGTTTAAAACTTTTTATTTATTTATTTTTCCAGTACTTAGGGATTGAACCCAGGGAGCGCTAAAATCTTAAAAATTGCTAGTAAGCCAGGCACACACTGTAATCCTAGTAGTCACGAGGCTGAGACAGGAGGATCATGAGTTTGAGGCCAGCCTGTGCAACATAGTGAGTTGTGACTAGAGGGGGCTACATAGCAACACTATTAAAAATGCTAATCCAATACTTTGTTTCCTCATAATATATTCCAAGTAGTGTATCTAATCCATACCGCCTGCCTTAATCAGATGAGCTACAGTTTAAGTGCCCCATAGCCACAGTTGCTAAACCACACGGTGTAGAAATCTTCCTGTAACCTTTTCCCTAGCCAGAGGCAACAGCGGTTCAGATTTCCAGCTTCATTGATTAATTTTGCTTTCTCTTAAATCCTAATGTTTATACTTTTGGTCTTTTTTTTTTGGTTCAAAAACTAAGAGGTGAGATGGGGATTTAGTTCAGTGGTTCTGCCTCCCACCTGCCTCAAAAGCGCAAGGTCCCAAGTTCGATCCCTGGTACCAAAAAAAAAAAAAAGTAAAAAAAAACTAAGGGGTGCTTTGGGGCCCCATCACTTATTAATCTTGATGGAAATATATCAAAGTAGCCGGGCACAATGGTGCATGCTTGTAATCCCAGCTACTCAGGAGGCTGAGGCAGGAGAATCAAAGGGTCAAAGGCAACCTGGGCAATTTAGCAAAACCCTGTCTCAGAATAAATAAGGGCTAGAGATGTGGCTGAGTGCCAGAGCCCTGGCCTAGCATGCTGAAGGCCCTTGGGTTCAAACCCCAATACAGGGGGAAAAAAAGCATAGAATTGAGTCTTGTATGTTAAACAGCTCAGTATGTCAAGAGTTCCTTGTGCTTTTTTTGCTTTTTTTTTTTTTTTTGGTACCAGGGATAGAACTCAAGACCTTGCACTTGTGAAGCAGGCGCAGTAGCACTGAGCTAAATCCCCGGCTTTGTGCATTCTAGATCATCATGGCTGGTCAGATGTGTAGGTTGCAAATATTTGTTTCTATTTTGTAACTTTTTTGTGTGTTTGTGCTGAGGTTGAACCCAGGGCCTCACAAATTGTAGTTTGTGATTTTTATCCTTATAATAGGGTGAGTTTGTTGTTTTGTTTTTGTAACTTTTTAATTTTTTTCTGATACCAGGGATTGAACTCTGGACCTTGTGCTTTCGAGGCAGGTGACAGAACCACTGAGCTAAATCCCTGGCCCAGTTTGTTTGTTTTGAGACAGGGTCTTGCTATATAGCTCAGACTGGCCTCGAGCCCCCAGTGATCCTCCTGCCTCAGCCTCCTGAATGCTGCCGTTAGAGGCATGTGCCCCCATTCCCTGCTATAACAGGGTTTTGGAAAAGCAAAGCTTTAACATTTTGATGAAGTCCATCCAGTTCATCAGTTTTTCCTTTATTGCCATCAAGTACATGATCCATTTTAATGTTTTTGTTTTGATTTTTACATAGGATATGAAGCTTGTCAAAATTCATTTTTTGCTGAAGACTTTTTTATTTTATTTTTATTTGTTTTTTTGAGACAGGGTTTCACTGTGTACTTCAGGCTGGCCTTGAAC